TTAGAAATATGCAGAATGGGACAGATCATTCCCGCCTTCGAAATCTCAGAAAAATATTTCTCTTCACTTCCCTGAAGGTTTGAACGGGGACCTCTCGATCCGCTGTCGAATGCTCTACCACTGAGCTATACCTCCGCGTCAGCGAACGTTTGCTTTGCGTTCCATAGGAACGGATGCGAAAATGCTTTGTCTAGAAATTTTCAGAACGGGACAGATCATTCCCGCCTTCGACCCCCTCCCCATATTATTGGTCGTATTGTTCCTGTGCTGGGGTATTTAAATTTATTTAAATCGTGATTATCTCTGGTTTGGCTGGTCCGATTGACTGAAGGTTAGTATCTTTCATTTCTGCTCGTGACCGCCTTTCGTTCTTGACCCAACTTACCCTGCTAAAGATTTTTAGAAAGATTTTAATCTTGTTAAGCCAAAAAAGTATAACTTCTTGCGTGCGTACATAAGTACACACAAACTTTCTTTTTATTAGTTTCTGTGTCAGAAAAAAATCGGATTTTTTTTTCTTTCAAATAACATCCTTTTCGTCCGGAACAGAAAAAAAGATTTTTCTTGTAAGTAACCAATTTCGACGACCAAGGGGGAAGGGCGTTTTGACTTAACAGGTGCAGATGAGTCATGAGTGTAACCTATCATGCGAGTTTTGAATAGGACAGGAAACTCTTTTCTTATCTCATCTCACTCTACAACGCAGGGAAATATTTAAGATTTTAACGGTCATGTTACATCATTTGATGATGGACTACCTATCTGTGCAGCCGAGGTTCTGATGATTCGTCGTATCCAATGAATAGCAACTCTGATGCAGAAATTGATAATGAGACTCTTTTTAAACTTATATTTCTTAAAGCTTTACATTGTTTGGAAACTGTTAAAAAATACCTTATGCAGAAGGATGTAAATGACGCAGTATTTTCTTCTGTGCATAGAGTCGAAAAAAGAATACTTTTGATTCAGGAATCAAAAAGATTTTCAAATATTTATCAGTCAGTATTTTAAATCTTCCAATTGACTGGCTTGTAATAATTCACTAGTAGTATTTTTAGCTGTTGAATAGAAAGTTCAAAATTTATAACAATGGATATGTTTTTGCTTAGTTGTTTATTGCAGAATTTCGAAAAGGTAAACACACAAAAAAAATTTTTTTATTTAGACCCCGATACAATGAATAACTCCGATTTATCGAACAAAATGTTCAGCCTCGATGAATTCGTTAAATCCGGGTCCGACTGTATTTATTTAAAAAATCAAATCTACGGCAATGAACCTTTTTTTAATTTGGAAGTATTTTTAGTCTAAGCCCAAAGATATTTCGAAATTTACTTTGTCTTAAATATTGACTTTAAATCAGAACTCATATAAGTAAAGTTATCAGATGAATGAAATTTTTAACGGTATTTACAGTTATTGCGCTATTAGACCTGTAACATATGCCACATGTGTGAACATTTTTTTAAATCCCTCAGTGTTGCTTGATCATGATTACTGCAATCTTTTCTAATTTATATTTTCATGTATTTTAGAGTAATAAATTTTTATCTTTCTCAAGATAACGATTATTATATTAATAAAAATATTCCTGTGTAATAATTTTTCTATTACTCAAAAGATGGCGCAAGCTGTGTAGAATTACTGAAAGGAATTTATTGTATTAAATCTCTACAAAGATACAATTTTTTTTCCTTTTGATAATTTATAATATAGTGTAGTTAGTATATATGTAACAGACTCGAGTATGAATCATATTTGTTGTTGAAATTTATTTAAAATTGCCTAAGCATAAATTAATGACATTTAAACGATTCATATAAGTAAATTTTTTTTATTATTTAGCTACTTATTTTGAAAGACGAAATGAAAACAAATAGGTTTGTATTAATAGAAGCAATAAACTTGAACCATCTGAGAGGGACAAGGAAAGCAATTTATGCTCAGAAATTTCTTTGTTCGATTTTTGCATAAATCAGCCATTTACTGCTCTCCTTTTTTCCCCCTCGTTTTGCTCTTTTCAATGGAATTGAAATGAAATCCTTTATTTCATGCATAATATAAATAAGTACTTAGAAAAACTTATATATATATATATATATATATATATATATAAGACTTTTATATATTTTTATTATCGATTTAGAACAGGATATTGATTTTTCTTAAAGAAAGATGTTGTTTATATTGTTTATTTTATATAATATAATCTTATTAATATTTCTTATGACAAATGCACAACACCCTCTGAAAAAAAAGTTTTTTCTTTTAATTATTTTCATTGTAAGATAATTATGTCTTTACCATCAAATTTTGAAAATAATAATTGAAGAAATTTATGTTTCTTAGATCACAGGTCCAAGCATAGAAGAAATTTGTATCTTCAATTTTTGTGACGTAAAAAAATCGTTTTTTTAATTGAAATTCTCTCTGTAAAAACATTTAGATAACAAAAAAAAGCATTTTAGTAACACGTAAGCTAACTAACTACAAGAAAAAAAAAGTCTTCGCATAACATAATTCTGAAATAAATTTATAAAAATGAAGTAATTCTTCCTTTACTTCTAAATATAATATTTGCATTTGCAATAAGATGATAAATAAATAACTAAACTGCGTTATTTAGTAAATTAGTAAAACAAATAGATTACAGCATTTATAATTCAGGATAAATTTCATTTAATTAAAATTTAAGTAACGTGTAAAAATATGTAAACAATATGTAAGAATATAGTTAAATAGTACAGATCTTATCACAAATATATTTAAATATATATACTGTATATTTTCAAATATAAGCTAAAAGTAAATTTTTTCTTCAAAAATTTGCCCACAATTCGATACACGTATATAAGCTGAATTGAAAAAAGAAAGAAAAAAAATGCTGTAATTTTCAAACATGTTTCCATGACGGTAAAATGCTGCCAAGTTGGTAAAATGAGTTGATTGTTTTCCAAAAATGTTGCTATAAATTAAAACGCCATACGCCAATGATGGTAGTTTTATTTCTGGTAACCCTATCTGAAGCTCTAGCACATTTTTTATAATTCATTTTTATCTTATGCACTACCATGTGGGTGAGTCTGTCTTCCCCAGTGCTCTTTTTTATTTAGAAAATGAAATTGAAGGGAAATTCGTATTCGATTAAATTCAAACATTAAGGTATCCGATTACGTTCGGAACCGTGATTTTTCAAAAGCGTATAAATTGATAATATTTATGATATTTAGTGTCACTTAGATTAGAAAGTGTATATAAAATTGTTTTAAGAACAGTATTACAATAAAAAATTATGTAAGTACAATATTTTGACAAAAATGAACATAGAATAATCCATTTTCAAAATATTCTCCTTTTGTGAAAAATGCTTCTATTATAATAATATTTTGCCTGTATATAGCTCAGACCTCTGTACAGAGGCTCAACGAGAATTTTTGAAAAATGTAACATAGAAGTGGGTTTATCCCTATTTTACGACAACAGAGGGGAGAAATTTTAAGAAAAAAAAAAGGTGACAATTATTTCAATTGGTGGTAACTCTGAAAATAATGTGAATTTTTCAAAAATCAATGTCGAGCCTCTGTACAGAGGTCTGAGCTATA